TTTCTTTGAGAACGGGTCTCACTTCATTGCCCAGGCTGGAGTGCAGTGGTGTGGTCACAGTTCACTGCAGCCTGGAACTCCCGGGCTCAGGTAATCCTCCTGGCTCAGCCCCAGTAGCTAGGACCACATGTGTGTGCCACCACACCTGGCTAGCTTTGTAATTTTGATTTCTGTAGAGATGGGGGTCTCGCTATGTTGCCCAGGCTGGTCTTGAACTCCAAGCCTGAAGTAATCTTCCCACCTCAGCCTCCCAAAGTGCTGGGATTACAGGTGTGAGTCACTGTGTCTGGCATCTCTCTTTCATGAACTGTGAGATATGGTCAAAAAAGTGAAAGCCAGGCCGGGCGCGGTGGCTCACGCCTGTAATCCCAGCACTTTGGGAGGCCGAGGCGGGCGGATCACAAGGTCAGGAGATGGAGAACATGGTGAAACCCCGTCTCTACTAAAAATAGAAAAAATTAGCCGGGCGCAGGGGCGGGCGCCTGTAGTCCCAGCTACTCTGGAGGCTGAGGCAGGAGAATGGCGTGAACCCGGGAGGCGGAGCTTGCAGTGAGCCGAGATTGTGCCACTGCACTCCAGCCTGGGTGACAGAGCAAGACTCCGTCTCAAAAAAAAAAAAAAAAAAAAAAAAAAAAAGTGAAAGCCGGACAGGCATGGTAGCTCATGCCTGTAATCCCAGCACTTTGGGAGGCCCAGGCAGAAAGATCACCTGAGGTCAGGAATTCGAGACCAGACTGGCCAACATGGCGAAACCCTGTCTCTACTAAAAATACAAAAATTAGCCGGGTGTGGTAGCAGGTGCCTGTAATCCCAGCTACTCGGGAGGCTGAGGCAGGAGAATCGCTTGAACCCAGGAGGCAGAGGTTGCAGTGAGCTGAGGTTGAGACTCTGTCTCAAAACAACAACAACAACAACAACAACAACAACAACAACAAGTGAAAGCTACTGGCAGAATGTTTCTGTACGATGGGCACATAAACATTTCAGTGTTTGTAGCTGGAGTTGGAGCAGGAGCCTTGGGTGAGAGAAGGGAACAGCTTCTGCTGTCTATTTTGTGCTTGTTTTCTCATATGTTAGCATTACTTTTTCTTTTTCTCTTTTCTTTTTTCTTCTCTTTTCTTTTGAGACAGAGTCTCACTCACTGTCATCCAGGATGGAGTGCAGTGGCATGGTCTCGGCTCACTGCAACCTCCACCTCCTGGGTTCAAGCGATTCTCCTGCCTCAACCTCCCGAGTAGCTGGGATTACTGGTGCCTGCCACCACACCTGGCTAATATTTTGTATTTCTGGTAGAGACAGGGTTTCGCTATGTTGGCCAGGCTGGTCTCAAACTCCTGGCCTCAAGTGATCTGCCTGCCTTGGCCTCCCAAAGTGCTGGGATTACAGGTGTGGGCCACCGCACCCAGTCTGCATTACTTTTTCTTTTTTTTTTTTTTTTTTTTTTGAGACGTAGTCTCGCTCTGTCACCCAGGCTGGAGTGCAGTGGCCGGATCTCAGCTCACTGCAAGCTCCGCCTCCCGGGTTCACGCCATTCTCCGGCCTCAGCCTCCCGAGTAGCTGGGACTACAGGCGCCCGCCACCTCGCCCGGCTAGTTTTTTGTATTTCTTAATAGAGACGGGGTTTCACCGTGTTAGCCAGGATGGTCTCGATCTCCTGACCTCGTGATCCGCCCGTCTCGGCCTCCCAAAGTGCTGGGATTATAGGTGTGGGCCACCGCACCCAGTCTGCATTACTTTTTCAATGAAAAAATACGACGTAGAAGAGAGTATGGAGTGAGGCACAGGAGGGCTCAAGAACCGTGAGATCCGCAATCATGACAAGCTTGGCGTTCCAATCCTGGCCCACTCTGGAGCCACAGTGGGACCCTGGGCAAATGGCTCCCAGCTCTCTGAGCCTCAGTTTAGCTCTTTGGAGGATGGGGCTAAGGGACCCCACCATGTGAAGATATGAGGTCAGAGGTGAGATCTCATGCACGGCCCAGGGCGTGCATGAGCAGGCCCTGTGGAAATGGTCATTCTCCTGACCCCTGCTGGGGCATGGCTGAGGACTGTCCCCTTCAGGTCTGTCTAGTCCCTGATTTCTGGCCCCTGAGGGCTGCTCTGTCCTTCTTCTCCCATGTAGATAACAGCTCAGGGAGGGCCGGTAGCACCGCCAGCTCCTGGCCCTGGGGGTGGTCTGGGTGAGGGGAAGTACTGCTAGGGGCTCAGGTGCCTGGAGCTGAGGGAGGAGGGGGTCTCGGCTGAGGTGGGGGCAGTTACCCGAAGAGTTGCAGGTGTCCATTCTCCTTGTCAGGGCCGGCCAGAAGCAATAGGTCTGGGAGCTCCAGGGCTGGACTGGAGGCTGCCACCCCCATGGTGACCTCGTTGGCAACTTCTCCCAACCGAGTCACCTGGGGCCAGGGGTCAGAGGTTAGGGGCAGGATAGATGTGCGGGCAGAACTGGGGAGGGATCAGAAATTAGGAATCTTGGTAGGGGAAAAGGTCATGAACCAGGTGAGCTGAAAATCAGGCTGGGGGCCAGATATCTTGGAATTAAAGGTCAAGAATCATATGGGTGTGAAGTTAGGGAAACTGAGGCAACGGAGTTAGAGGTTCACAAAGAATCTAAAGAACTAGAGGTATGGGGCATCAGTGGTCAGGTAGGAGTTGGGAGTCGGGAATCCCACGTGATGGACGTTATGGGGGAGCAGGGGCTTTCCAAGTCGGGAGGAGGTCGAGGGACAGGCCGAGGCTTGGGATGAGGGGGTTCTGGGGCTCCCTACCTGCACAAAGTTGCTCTCAAAGATGGGGAAGTCCCGCAACTGGTCGAATTCGCCGCTCTGGAGGTAGCGTTGGAGCCGTCTGGGACGGCCCGTGGGAGAGGCTGGAACCAGGAGGCATTTTAGCAGGACGAAGTCTGGGCGTCGATCCCGGGAGGCTGTGTCTGGCTGCCAGCCGGGAGGGCCCGGCACAGCTCCGCGCAGAGGACGGGGTATCAGATGTCCCTGAATTGCCGGCCCCAGCCTTTGCTTGGTTCCCTCACCAGGTCCAACCCCTCCAGGCCTGGCTCCGTCTCTCACCTGCCATCCCACCTGGTTCCACCTTGCCAGCTCCACCCAGGGCCGGCTTAGCGCCGCGATCCCGCCTCATCGCGATGTCCCCGCCCGCCTGGAGCGGAGGAAGGAGCCGAGGGAGAAAATGAGGGGGCTGGGCTAGGGCATTGTGACGTCATGATGCGGATCGGGTTTTATGACGTCACACAGAAGCGGGCTCCCAGTTTGTGATGACGTCCCAGGAGGGGGCGGCTCCTGGAGATCAGGCTAAAGGGGCGGCTCCATCCTGCTGACGTCAGGCCCCAGGAGCGGACGGGCGCCAGTGCGCAGGCGCTGGGGCCCAGCGCAGGCGCACGGGCGTCAGGATGCGGCCTGTTTCTCCCGGCGTGCTGCGCGGCTCCTGGCTCTCAGCCGTCGCTTCGCCGGTGGGAAGGAGCCGAGATGGCGGCAACCAGCGGTGGGGCGACCCGGCTGCTCCTGCTCTTGCTGATGGCGGTAGCAGCGCCCAGTCGAGCCCGGGGCAGCGGCTGCCGGGCCGGGACTGGTGCGCGAGGGGTGAGTGATCTTTAGCTGTGCATAGCGGGCGCGGTCTACGGATGTCGCGGGTCTTGGGTCTTTAGGTGAATTACAGACGAAAGGAGGCTGCGCAGGGCTAAGAGGGAAGAGGTGGGCGATCTCTGGAAAGCCAAGCCTCAGTCACGCACGCGCAGGAGGGGCCTCGCCAGTGCACCGGGTTGCAGCGACTGGGAGGGAAAACAAGAGCACCTGTTGGAAAGGCTCTGGCTCCGGAATATGTATGAGGGGGCGGGGCTGGGGGTGTGGAATCTTGGAGAGTCACGTCGGGGCGGTTAAAATGAAAGAGGAATGGTGAAGCCGGGCGCGGTGGCTCTTCTGTCATCCCAACGCTTAGGGAGGCCGAGGCGGGAGGATTGCTCGAGATCAGGAGTTCAAGACCAGTCTGGGCAACATAGCGAGCCCTGTCTCTACAAAAAATACTAATTAAAAAAATTAGGCCGATCGCGGTGGCTCATGCTTGTAATCCCAGCACTTTGGGAAGCCGAGATGAGCGGACCACTTAAAGTCAGGAGTTCAAGACCAGTCGGCTCAACATGGTGAAACCCCGTCTCTACTAAAAATACAAAAATTAGCTGGGTGTGGTGGCAGGTGCCTGTAATCCCAACTACCCGGGAGGCTGAGGCAGGAGAATCGCTTGAACCCAGGAGGCAGAGGTTGCAGTGAGCTGAGATCGCACCACTGCACTCCAGCCTGGGCGACTGAGCGAGACCCTGTCTCAGAAAAAGAAAATAAGGAGTGGGAGGGGGCTCTTGAAGAGGTGGAGAGGAGTTTTACCTCCTGAATATGCACGAATATGCAGGTTTGGAGATTGGAGAAAAGGAAAGCATGAATCTTGAATATGCTTAATAGGGACTGAACTCAGGCTGCATCTTGGCTCTTGGGCTGTCAGGTGATAAGGAGGCCATTTGGATACTAGCATGAAAAAGAAGCCTCGGGAGAGGGAGGGTGTCATTTAATTCATGAGTATTTGTGGTGCAAGGCTTGGAATTGACCTTGGGATAGTTGCTTTGGCAATGAGGTTAGGCATGTTTGTAGGGTCTGGTTTTCTGGGGGTGAGGGAGTCCAGATTATGAATATTCATGAAATGGGTGGTTTCTAGTGAAATAGAGGCAAGCAGCAGTGATTAACCTGAAGATAAGGCTCCTCCTTCAGCCCACCCCAGTCTGTCTGTCCTGGGCTTTGTGGGTGACTGCCATGCTGAGGGCTTGGATGGTTCTCACCTGGGGCCTTCTGTGTCCTGTGCAGGCTGGGGCGGAAGGCCGAGAGGGTGAGGCCTGCGGCACGGTGGGGCTGCTGCTGGAGCACTCATTTGAGATCGGTGAGTCAGGCAACGTCCTCTCTTAACATTGGTGCCCTGAGAAGTCAAGACTTGGAGTCCGGGTGCCTCCCGTCATATGACATTTACTAACATCCGTTTACTAACAGATTTGCCCCAGGTTGGGGGAAAGGGGGACATGAAAGAAGAGAAACACTGTCTTTAAATGTCCCCTTGCCTGTAAGACAAATCTCAGTTTTTGAAAGGTCAGCACGGCAGTAATAATGTCAGAGCCGACTTTCCCGATCAGTTGCCATGTGCCCAGCATTAGTGGTTGCACGCTTTGCAAGTATTAACTCACATGTCCTCACAGCAGCCATGTGAGGTGGTAGGTATTCGTGTCAGCCTCCTTTTCCAGAAGAGGAAATGGGCTCAGAGTAGGCACTACACAAGGTCTCATCGTGAGTGAGTGGCAGAGCAGGAGCCAGCTTCAAAGCCAAGCTTAAATTGCCATGACGCAGGTGTCCAGGTTCCCAGAGCTGGACGTCAGTGCTGCCCAGAGTGTAGTAATCGAGTCTGAGGCCCTGAACCTGAGGGCACAAACCCTGAAGCTGGTGCCCCTCTGCAGACCCTGGCATCTGCTCAGCGAACAGCTCCCCTGCTTCTGACACAGCCAGGTAGTTGGGAATTCCTGAACTCCACAGCGTCCGTATTTTGCAGTTGGGGAAGCTGAGGCTCAGAGAGGTTATATGGCTGTCCCTGGGTCACCTGGTGAGGCAGAGGCAGGATTTGGGAGCTGTGAGGTTCATGCATCTGCTATGGGTTGCCTCGTGAGGTAGAACATGGTGGAGGTGTCCCCACTTTGTAGATAGGAAAATGGGGGCCAAGATGGGGAGGGAACCTGGTCACTCGGGTGGAGGCAGGCCAAAATTTGAAGCTGGACCTCCTGGCCCCTGCCTGGGTTGAAGGATGGGCGGGGGGGTGGTAGGGGGCGTCTCTGAGCCTGAGCTCCTCACAGATGACAGTGCCAACTTCCGGAAGCGGGGCTCGCTGCTTTGGAACCAGCAGGATGGCACCTTGTCCCTGTCACAGCGGCAGCTCAGCGAGGAGGAGCGGGGCCGACTCCGGGTGAGATGGGGCACTCAGGGCTGGGTGTGGATGGGGATGGAGGGTATCTAGCTGTCTCTTCAGCCACCCCCTGCTGGTCCCCCGCAGCCTTCCCTCCAGGCCCAGGTGGGCTTCCAGCACCTCCTGCCACTCTCAGCCTCTGTCCTGGATGACTGCCCCTGGTGGAACGGTTCATCTTGGCGTTCCAGGCACAATGTCCTGCCTCATGGCCTCTGCCCACACTGCTCCCTCTGCCTGCAGAGCCCCTTCCCCCGCAGGTTTCACACAATCGGCTCCTCTCCTCTTCCACATTCAGCTGAGCTGTTTCATGACTACTTAGACGAGATTTGCTTGTGAGGAGAGAGAGATCCTTAAAATAGCCGTGGTTAGACAGGAGCTCACTTCTGTCGCCCTGTGTTGTGACAGCCTCAGGGCCCGGCTCAATCCTCCGTAGGTGTCATGCAGAGAGGCCCCAGGGCTCCAGGCAGCAGGGTAGAGCGGGAGAAAGGGGCAGAAGGAGCAGCAGCATTTAGAGAAAGCTTGCAAAAGCTGGCACAGCCCACATCCCCCCATCGGCCAGATGTAGCTGTGAGGGAGGCTGGGAGTGCAGGCTTCATTGTGGTGGCCACGCGGCGAGGTCTGCCTTAGCAGCCTTCCTGCTTGGTGCCCACATGATTCTCTTGTCACAGCTGCCCCCAAACAGAATTTATTGTGCGTGTAACTGGTGCATCCAGGCGTGGGGTGGATGTCAGGTGCGGCTGGATCCAGGCACAGGGAAGGCGTCCTCAGGACCCACTCCGTCGTTGGGCTGGGCTCTGCGCTCCTTGTGATGGCTTCTCCCCTAGGTGGGGCAGTCCCAGCTGCTCCTGGCCTCACCCACCAGCCGGGCCACCCCAGCAGGAAGAGTCCTGGGCAGACTCAGGTCGGCCAGCCTGGGGAGTGTGGGCTGTGAGGCGGGTGGGGCTGGAGAGGGGCCTTTGCGGAGGCCTGGTGGGCATCACAGCCTGTCCAGGGCTGGCGCCAGCCTTCTGACCAGCACCCTCTTCTCCCGTCCCCAGGATGTGGCAGCGCTGAACGGCCTGTACCGGGTCCGGGTCCCGAGGCGACCTGGGGCCCTGGATGGCCTGGAAGCTAGTGGCTACGTCTCCTCCTTTGTCCCTGCGGTGAGTTGGTGTCGAGGACAAGCCCCCTTCTCCCTCGTCCTTACCCTCTACCCTGGTCCTGCTTCCACCATTCGAACCCCTGTGTTTCTGGAGCCCGCAGAGGCCTGGGAGACTCGGACCTGGCCTTGCCCTCCAAGGCCTCCTGGTCTGGAGGGGTTGGTCCAGGTAGCGGGTGCTTTTGTGGGGACAGCATTGTGAGGACTCCAGGGTGGGGGCGGTTGAGCTTGGGCTTGTGCCTGAGGGTGACAGGGAGCCATGGGAAGGTTTTGAAAGATGCTCTGGGGATCCTGTGGTGGGGGGCAGGGGGAGGTTAGGGTGGAGCCCAGGCAGCAGGCTCCCCACCTCTGCTGACCCCACTCCCCCGACAGTGCTCCCTGGTGGAGTCCCACCTCTCGGACCAGCTGACCCTGCATGTGGACGTGGCTGGCAACGTGGTGGGCGTGTCGGTGGTGACGCACCCCGGGGGCTGCCGGGGCCATGAGGTGGAAGATGTGGACCTGGAGCTGTTCAACACCTCGGTGCAGCTGCAGCCGCCTGCCACAGCCCCGGGGTGAGCCCGCTTCTACAGCCTTTGTGGCGCCCTTGCCACCTGCCCCGGCCCTTCCTGGCGGCCTCAGGGTCTCCGTGTCCCTGGACTCCAGGCCTCACCCTTCTCCTTCTCTCCCCTCACCCCAGCCCTGAGACGGCGGCCTTCATCGAGCGCCTGGAGATGGAACAGGCCCAGAAGGCCAAGAACCCCCAGGAGCAGAAGTCCTTCTTCGCCAAATACGTGAGTGGGGCTCCCCCGCCTCCCCTGTTCCCTTCCTGACGGTCCTGGCGCCTGGCTAGGCCCTCTCTGCTCCCACTCAGACTCCCCTGTGGTACTCGGGCCTGCCCTCATCCTCCCGGCCTCCTGTGTGGGGGCCCCTCACTCTCCAGGCCTCCTGTGTGTCCTGGTACCTGGGCTGAGGCTTGTTTGCAGGAAGAGGGTACGGAGGTGTGGTCAGGGGAGGTCGGGCCAGCTCTAGGGCGCAGGGTCCTGGGGAAGGTCTCGGCATGAGCTAGGCTGGAGCCATGAGGCTGGAGAGGAAGGGAACAGTGGAGGTTTCAAAGCAACCAGGGAGGCTTAGAAAGGAGGGGTGAGCAGATTCTCCAGGGGGATGTACAGGAAGGAGAGAGGAGTGGGTCCGGGAGGGATGTAGCCCAGGGAGGGGCATTGGGGGGCAGCGGGGCGTCCCGGAGGCCTCCTGGAGCTGAGGAGGGAGGGGCCTGTGCTGCCAGCAGCAGGTCTGGGTCCAGGGGGCTTGGAGGCTGAGGCATGGGGTGGGGAGGCTGGGAACAGCCAGAGGAGGTGGCTTCCTCCCAGGCCTCTGGTCCCTCGAGTATGGAGACTGGTGTTAGTTGGGGCATAGGACCCCAGGCAGGACAAGGCCCGCGAGGAGGCCGATGTGGCCCGAGGGAGGCTAGGAGGATGCTGAGGCTGGGATGGCTGAGCCCTGCCGTGCTGAGCGCCCTACCCGAGGGCCTCACCCGCTCTGCCCGGATAGTCCAACAGCTGCGCTGCAGGAAACTGAGGCCCAGAGGCTGAGCCCTTGCCTGCCGGGCCCTGCCCTGCTGCCCACTCGAGCGCCCTCCCGCTCCCCGCTGGCCCTAGGGCCCCACGGCTACCCGCTGGCCCTGACCTGCGCTCCCTCCCTCCCCAGTGGCACATCATCCTGGGGGGGGCCGTGTTGCTCACAGCCCTGCGTCCTGCTGCGCCAGGGCCCGCGCCACCGCCGCAAGAGGCCTGAGTGAGGACCGAGACCCCTGCCCCTCCCTCTGCCCCACTGGCCCTCCCTGACCTGTAGTGACGTAGGGGACCTGGGCGCCCTCCCCTTACGCGGCCTCCCTTCATGCCGGGCCCCACCTTCCCTACCCTGGGCGGGCAATGCCCACACTCACCTCCTTCCCCTCTCTCTCTCTTTCTGTGTCTGTCTGTCCATCCTTCCGTCCGGCTGCAGTGGATGTACATCATTCCCGTCGTCCTGTTCCTCATGATGTCAGGAGCGCCGGACACTGGGGGCCAGGGTGGGGGTGGGGGTGGGGGCGGTGGTGGGGGTAGTGGCCGGTGAGGGCCCAGGCTGGTCAGCCTCCCGTCCTGCACACCCAGGAGCCTCCCTTTCTGCTGGAGTCCCCTGTGTCCTCAGCCATCCCAAGAAGGGTTTACTGGTCCCTCCTTTCCCCCCATCTCACGAGTCCCCTTGTCCTCTGCCTTCTTGCTGGCAGCCGAGCGGCTGGATTGGGGCCTTTGGCACGGGAGCTGGTGTCTCCTGCACCCGCCTCCCCATGGCCCCATGCAGCCCTAGGGGCTTCCCCCCCTGCCCATGGAATAGAGCCCGAGATCCCGGCCACTGTGCCAGCTCTGACCTCACATCCCCCCACCCCGAGCCCGTGCAGTCTGGGAACATGCCACCTTCTCTCCCGCCTCTGTGCCTTTGTTCCAGGGGGTCTCCCCTCCTGTCCCTGGCTGGGTTAGGTGGTCCTGTCCAGGCTTCTGCAGCGCCCCCCTCACTTTGACACTGGACTAGGATGCAGCCTCCCTTCTGTGTCCCCTTGAGGGTACCCTTGGTCCCCTCATCAGGGGCAGAGGCATGAAAGAGCCAGGGCTGGATGGCCAGGGACTTCTGGGCTTGACTCCTAGTGCGGTCCCTGCGGTCGTGGTTTGACATTTGTCTGCCTGGTGCAGACAAGAAATCCTTGCCTTTAGGGTGACAGGCCCTCCACAGGCCTCCAGACTTGAAGGAAAAGATTTAAGATTAAAAAAAAAAACCCAACAGTTAGTGAAGTCAAAGGCCAGACACTGTAAATAGAACCCCCCCCCACCGCCCCCCGCCGCCCAGCATCCTGCCTGGACTGCGGTGCTACGAGGGGCTGTGGCTGTGCGCTGCCCTCTCTGTAAGTCTATTTAAAAACATCGACGATACATTGAAATGTGTGAACGTTTTGAAAAGCTACAGCTTCCAGCAGCCAAAAGCAACTGTTGTTTTGGCAAGACGGTCCTGATGGCAAGACAGTCAAGACAGCCTTGACTGAAATTCACTGCTCACTTGATACCTAATTCAGAAACCCAAGGAATGGCTGTCCCCGTCGTCATGGCTGTGTGAAGCTCAGCTGTGCCGTGTGGCAGTTTATGAAACTGGCCACCAAATCAACACTCAGCTGGCCTCCTGCATTGAGTGGTTATAAATAGCACCCAGTGAATGCTCTCACCCAGTCTCTCCTGGTTGTGGTTTGAATGATCTCGGGACGCACGACTAAAATGGAATTACGATGGCAGATGGGAAACGCGCTTATGAACAAGTGATGGGTTCACGTGAGTCGACTGTCAAGACCAGGAGGTGGTGCATGGTGGGACGTTGCCTTCCCTTTCATCACTTCTTTTTGATTTTGAGACAAGGTCTTGCTCTGTCACCCAAGCTGGAGTGCAGTGGTGATACCTTGTCTCACTGTGATCACCTCCTAGCTCAGCGATTCTCCCACCTCAGCCTCCTGAGTAGCTGGGATTAGAGGCGTGCACCACCACACTCAGCTAGTTTTTGTATTTTTTGTAGAGACGGAGTTTCACCATGTTGCCTAGGCTAGTCTTGAACTGCTGTACTCAAGTGATCCACCTGCCTCGGCCTCCCAAAGTGCTGGGATTACAGGCATGAGCCACTGCGCCTGGCCTATTTTTGGTAGCTTTAATAAAGAAGATAGTCTTAGCATTGCTGACTTCTGTTTCTTCCTCCACCTGCAGGAGATAGCTTATGCTTTTTCTGTCTTCATTCCCTGTGAATCCTGCTTTACTCTTCCTACATGATTCCTGAAGTATTTACTAATGCTTTTTTGTTTTGTTTTTTTGAGACAGAGTCTCGCTCTGTCACCCAGGCTAGAGTGCAATGGCATGATCTCAACTCACTGCAACCTCCGCCTCCTGGGTTTAAGTGATTCTCCTGCCTCAGCCTCCCAAGTAGCTGGGATTGCAGGTGCCCGCCAACACACCTGGCTAATTTTTGTATTTTTAGTAGAGACAGGTTTCACCATGTTGGCCAGGCTGGTGTTGAACTCCTGACCTCAGGTGATCTACCGCCTCAGCCTCCCAAAGTGCTGGGATTACAGGCATGAGCCCCTGTGCCAGGCCTACTGATACTTTTTGGGAAGTATTCACAACTCAGAGTCCTGGTCGCTGTGTCTGATCTGCAGATGCCTTCTAGCCCGGCACTGGGGGGCCGTCTTCTTTTTCCTGGGTTGAGCATTGGGATCTTTATAAGCCTAATTACATCCTTTCCCTGTAAGACTCAGTTGCTTTCAGGCTGGCGGAGTTATTCTGTGGGGTATTCCGGGAAATGCCTGAGTTCCTTCAGACTCCCCTAGGGTTCTGTTCTTACTCAACTTTTCTTTGAGGTCTGCCTGTCCCTGGGGAGCCCACTCACTATTTTATTTTACTGACCGGGGTATCCAGGGATGAAGTATGAAACTCAAAAGATAGAGTAGGTTGGCCGGGCATGGTGACTCGTGCCTGTAGTCCCAGCTGTTTGGGAGGTGGAGACAGGAGGATCGCTTGAGCCCAGGAGTTCCATGCTTCCCTGAACTGCGATTGAGCTACGGCACTCCCGGCGGGGTGCCAGAGGGAGAACCTGTCTCCAGAACAGACAAAAGATGCAGTGGGATCCACGCTGAGGAACTGTATGCTCACTCCGGGCTCAGGCACCCACCCCTCCCTGGAGACAGCCTGGGTTTTCTGTCCCCTGGTATTCCGCAGATACTCTCCGCAGAAACAAACAGATGCACATTTAGACGGTTTTGCAAATGTTGCTCTTTTCCCCCACCTCCTTTTGACATAGCTGGGGCAGTTTCCATCTCTGGTATAAGGTACCATCTTATTCCATCTCTGGTGTAAGAGCGTGTTGTGTTGGTCCCCCGCTGCTGGATTTGAGTTGTTCTAAGCAGCACTGCAGGAATCCCCCTGTTCTGCTGCATCATTCTGCACACGTGTGTGTGTGTGGAAGCCATGGCCCGGTGGGGCCCCGCCTTGCTGGGGGACAGGGATGTGTGTGTGTGGAAGCCATGGCCCAGTGGGGCCCCGCCTTGCTGGGGGACAGAGATGTGTGTGTGTGATGGTGGTGCATGCTGCCCCCGTACTACTCCAGGTGTCTGCCCCACCCCTCCACCCTGGAGGTGCCAGACAGCCCCTCAGTGATTCCTCAGCTGATCTCCAGCTCAGATCCCACCCTTGATCTCCAGACTCATGGCCCCATCTGCCTCCTGGGCCTCCTTCCCCAGGATGTGCCTCAGGGGCCACTAAAGGAGCCATTGCCTCTCACCTGCCCGGATCGGGTGCTTCTCCAGGGATCTTTGTTCTAGTGAGTGGTGCCACCACCTGCCTAAACTCATGGACCAGAGCACTGCCCTGTCCCAATCACACTCCCCTGTGCACCACCATACCTACCCCTAAAGTTCTTCTTGGCCTCATCTCTTCACTTCTGTCTCCATGGCCTTGGCCCCAGCTCAAGCCTCGTCCTCTGCCACCTGGACCATCAGCCCAGCCTCCTCTTTGGCCTCCCAGCACCCAGCATCTCCCCTCAGTCCATCCCCCTAATGGAGGGCTTCCTGACACTAGAGCTGACCTCACTACTCCCCTGCTCACAACCCTCCCCGTGGCCCCTCACCTGTCCCAGGATAAAGTCCCAACCCATCATTCTGTGTCTCCTCCTCTCTGTCTCCACTGTCCTGACCCTAACTCAGCCCTCATTCTCTGCCTCCTGGACCCTCACCGTAGCCTTGTGACTTCTGGTCTAAGATGTGAGAGCACCTGGCAAGGTAAATGCTCCAGGAGGGTTGCTGCCTCACATTTCCTGCCACCACAAAATGTTATCAGCTCCCTGGCATTGAGGAAGCTTCCCTGTTCCCAGCCTAGGGTTTCATGTGGGCATTTAGGCGCTCCCAGTATATTGTTGCATGGCAAGCAATCCTAAAATATACAAGACTACATTTGGTATGTTGTAAAATTCTTTACTAACCCCAAATTGTCTACTGAAAACTATAGGCTCTTTTTTTTGGGGGGGTGGGGGGGGCGGGTGTGTTTGTGGGATGGAGTTTCACTTGTCACCCAGGCTGGAGTGCAGTGGCTCGATTTTTGCTCACTGCAACCTCCACCTCCCAGGTTCAAGCATTTCTCTTACCTCAGCCTCCTGAGTAGCTGGGATTACAGCTGCGTGCCACCACACCCAGCTAATTTTTGTATATTTAGTGGAGACAGGGTTTCACTATGTTGGCCCGGCTGGTCTTGAACTCCTGACCTGAAGCGATCCACCTGCCTCGGTCTCCTAAAGTGCTAGGATTACAGGTGTGAGCCACTGCCCCTGGCCTCTGTAGGCTTCTTTAACCCATCAGAGAGACTCCCTGGTAAGGATCAGGGGCTAACTACTGGTGCCTCTTCAGCTGTCTGTCCATCCTCCTTTGCTTGTACCCACCTTCCAGTCAGCAAGGCACAATAATGTTGTTACAAAGGAAACAAACTCAATTTGGCCCATTTCCTGGTAATGCAATCTCCCAAACAGGTTTGTGTGAACCAAATTCCATTTTCGTTTGTTTCCCATGTGCAGTCCCAGTTGCATTTCCATGGGAGCCAATCCACCCACCCGTAGAATGACTTGAAAATGTGTGAAGTACCAGGTGCGGTGGCTCATGCCTGTAATCCCAGCACTTTGGGAGGCCAAGGTGGGTGGATCACGAGGTCAGGCGATCAAGACCATCCTGGCTAACACGGTGAAACCTCGTCTCTACTAAAAAATAGAAAAAATTAGCCGGGCGTGGTGGCGGGCACCTGTAGTCCCAGTTACTCAGGAAGCTGAGGCAGGAGAATGGCGGGAACCCAGGAGGCAGAGCTTGCAGTGAGCCGAGATCACGCCACCGCACTCCAGCCTGGGCAACAAAGCTAGACTCCATCAAAAAAAAAAAAATGTGAAGTTCAGAAGTTTCATGCCAAGAAGTTTGCTGAGCATGATGTTTATATATTGATTAGGAGTAAAAATGTTCTTTTTTACAAAATGTTACAACTTCTCCCTGTCCCCTCCTTCCACCCAGTATCCCCTGTTCCTCCCCCAGGCATTGAGGTCACTGTTCCTTTTTGTTGGGATCATTCTCGGTGTCTCATACAACTGGTTGCAGCTCCATTCTTTGCCAGGAGGTGGTGGTAGAGGATTCCACGCGCTCAGAATGCCTCAGGCCGGCCCCTGTGGCTTCTCTCCATGGAGGGAAGTGTCCTGCAGGGGGCGCTGTTGGTCCTTCAGGCAAGGTCGGGTTCCCTTGAAGTCTGTCCTAGCAGTTGCTGGTCTTCCGAAACACCGGGCACCGATTTTCTCATCTCTGAAATGGAATTCAGGTGAGGTCCCACCAGTGCTGAGGTGCTTCATGTTGTCAGAGGAAGAGTTGGGGAAGGAGTGGAATGTAGCAGAAATGCGTCATCTGCTCACTGAGCTCAGATAGGAGGCCAGGGATCAGCAGATTCAGGAGCCCATTCCTGGTTAACCCCAGGGGCCCCACCCAGTCCTGGCCCTGCTCCTTACGTGCTGTGTGTCTTTAGGCAAGTTGCTTCCTGTCTGTGAGCCTCTTCTTTGTTTCCGTCTTCCTGGGCCTAGGGCAAACCCGATTCCTCCAGGCAGTGTCCAGAGTTCCAGATAGAAAAGAAAGAGAGAATGGGTGTCAGAAAGGTGGTCCACTCCTGGGCCTCAGGCTTGGGGGCCCTGCTCAGGGCTAGCCTGTTTGGGCATCGGTGTGGGCTCCTGCCTTCTGGTCGGGACCTGGAAACCTGGGAGCAGGCAAGGCAGGAATGGGAGAGGGAGGCAAAGGCCCACCAGGCAGGGATGCAGGGGCCAGCCGGAGACGGAGGAGATGGGGCTCCCCGGAGGCAGGCCAGTTTGAGTGAGAGCTTGGAGGAGAGAGAGGGAGAGAGAGCCAGGAGAGGAGACTGGTCCAGAGAGGAGGGAAAGGAAAGGACAGGGCAGAGACAGAGAAAACAGAGAGGGAAGGAAGAGAGACCCAAGGGGAGAGACAGGGAAGGAAGAGGAAAGTGAGAAGAGGAAGAGGCAGATTCAGAGAAGAGAGGAGAGAAAAGAGGTGGAAATGAAACAGGAGAAAGGGGGAGGAAAGGAGGGAGAACAGAGTGCAGGAAAAAGCAGGAGGAAAGAGCCGGGCGCTGTGGCTCACGCCTGTAATCCCAGCACTTTGAGAGGCTGAGGTGGGTGGATCATGAGGTAAGGAGACCGAGACCATCCTGGCTAACATGGGGAAACCCTGTCTCTACTAAAAATACAAAAAAAAAAAAAAAGCCAGGTGAGGTGGCAGGCGCCTGTAGTCTCAGCTACTCGGGAGGCTGAGGCAGGAGAATGGTGTGAACCCGGGAGGTGGAGCTCGCATTAAGCTGAGATCGCGCCACTGCCCTCCTCTAGCCTGGGCGACAAGAGCGAGACTCCGTCTCAAAAAAAAAAAAAAAAAAAAGGAAAGAAAGGATGGCCAGAGCAGGAGGGGAGAGAGGAGGAGGGAGAAAGAAGGAAACAGAGTGAGGGGTCAGAAGTGGAAAGAGAGGAAGAAACGGGAAAGAAAGATGGTGCGAGAAAAGGGACAGGAAGGAAGAGAAGTAGAGGGTGGGTGTCATGGCTGGTGAGCTGGGAGAAGAGGGAGGCAGAGAAACGGGTGAAGGAGGGAGCAGCCTAGGAGAAGGGGG